TTTTTTTGAGATCGAGTCTTGCTCAGTCGCCTAGGCTGGAGTGCAGCGGCATGATCTTGGCTCACTGCAGCCTCTGCCTCCCATGTTCAAGCAATTCTCTTGTCTCAGCCTCCGAGTAGCTGGGACTACAGGTGCCTGTCACCACACCTGGCTAATTTTTGTATTTTTAGTAGAGACGGAGTTTCGCCGTGTTGGTCAGGCTGGTCTCCAACTCCTGACCTCTGGTGATCCATCCTCCTCAGCCTCCCAAAGCATTGGGATTGCAGGCATGAGCCACCATGCCTGGCCTAATTTTTGTATTTTTAGTAGAGATGGGGTTTCACCACGTTGGTCAGGCTGGTCCTGAACTCCTGACGTCAGGTGATCTGCCTCCCTCGGCCTCCCAAAGTGCTGGGATTACAGGCGTGAGCCACTGTGCCTGGCCTATTTTATAGATTATTTTCAGTAAATAAGTTGAAAACCAAATTGTTTGACTTTTAATAGTAACACTGTACTTCAAATTAACTTAGTGATATTTTAAATTAAACATTTATTCTTTTACAGCCAGTATCTTTTCCTTTATCAAATTCCTTTTTACCATCAGTGGGAATGGTAATGGTGAATGGATGCAGGGTCTTAAAATCAGCCAACGTTGCCATGACTTCTGTAGGTCAGTGACAGGAGTCACTGCATAACAATCTAAATTCCCTGATTTATCTCATGAAATGTGATTTCTCATACAAACAAAAGTTGTGAGAACTCCATGAGCAAGACCAGCTGCTTTTGGGGGCTGCCAAATTTTAGATTGTTACTTGAAAAGCAAAAAGACCAGGCAAACATCCTAGAGACAGACCTACTGCAGATAAGTATTATAATCTTGTGCACTATGATCAAAACAGAATGGATTGCTCATCCTGTTACCCTATTGGTATTGCTCACATTTTAAAATTTAGGAGCTGGACTCAAGAATGATAATTTCATTATTAAGCTTCAAGAGTCACATTGTATTGTACGCATCGAATATCACAAAATCTAAAACACTGAAAAGCTAGCGTTTACATTCTTGAATCATACCCTCAGTGGCCAAGGATTCCCACTGGCCGCTTTCAGCTGGGCTGTCCCCTGTGAAGGCAGGAGACAAACGAGGAGCGTTACGACTTTGCTCCCAGGACTTTGGCGCACAGTTCCCAAGAATCCAGGTCCGTCCAGTCAAAACCCTGAAGCCAGAACTGGCAGGTCCTGATCCTCCCCTTTTGCACCCAAAAGGGGAAAGAGGCCCCGGAATCCCGACCTTGTCGAGTCCCGGCGCCAGTACCAGTTGGGCAGGCATCCTCAGGTTGTTAGTATCCCAGGCCTCTTCCGGGTTAGCAACAACCTCCAGACGCCTGGGTTGCTAACAGCTCCAGGGGGCAGAGAATTGTTTATTTTGTTAACTGTGGTTTTCTCCAACACTCAGTTCCAACTGGAACCGGGCAAGGTCTCACCTCGTCTCCCGGCCACTTCCCTGCTTGTTTGTTTCTTCCTAACTCTCAAGTGTCTTTAGCCCAGTTCATCCCCACCCCAGCAGCCCAAGGCTGGGCGGGGACGGTCAGGGTTCGAAGCCTGCGGCCAAATTTAGAGGTTTTCAGGCTCTGCTGGGAGGCCTCCCTTTACTCAGAAGAGCCACGGGTAAGCTGGGCGGTCGCCTCGGTTGCAGACTGAGGCTTTGGACCTCGGCTTCCAAGAAAATCCCCAAACCAAAGGCTGAGCTTCGCGTCAGTTGTTAATGAGCAGGAGCGTCTGGGCGGAACTTTTAAGGGCCCTCCCCGTCTCGCCCCGCCCCAGCCCGTTTCGCTCCGCCCTCGACCCGTCTCGCCCCGCCCCTGATCCGCCCGGCTGCGGAGGCGCGGGGCGCCCCCGGGTGGCAGCGAGCGGTGTTGCTCCTGGCGGGTGGAGGCAGCGGCTGCGGCGGCAGCGGAAGGGGAAGCGCTGAAGTGGCTGGGCCCACGGCCATGGCGGAACCGGTGCAGGAGGAGCTCTCGGCCCTGGCCGCGATTTTCTGCGGGCCCCACGAGTGGGAGGTGCTGAGCCGCTCAGGTGACTACCCCCGCGCGCGAGAGACAGGGCGCCCTCAGGGGCCGCCCGCGTTCTCTCTGCGGCTCCTCCCCACCACGGAGCCTGGGCACCCCGCCTGGGCTCACGTTTGGGGACCGGGTTAGTTGAATGTTGGAGTGACACGCCCTGGAGGCCGGAGAGGTGCCGCAGCGGGCGGGAGTGTGAGGAGACCCCAGAAACCCGGAGAGAGCGGCTCCGCCCCCTGCGGCCTCTGTCGCGGGTCCTGCCCGGAGCCGCCGGCCTCTGCGGTGCGCGGCCCCAGGCCCTCCCCCAGCCTCCCGCCCTTCAGATCTCACCCTGGAAAGAAGCCTGTGCCGACGCCCCCTCTATGTCCTTCCTAAGCACTATGTCCTAGGCCCTCGAGAGCACTCCCCAGTTTTAACTCTACATGGATATTTGGACATCTTAAGTTGCACGAGGGCAAGGACCCTGTCTGTTTGGTAATAACTCCAGGCACCTAGAACGGTGCCGGCCCGGCACATGGTATGTAGTTGGCAAATGTTTGTTGACTGAACATTTTAGTTTAGCCAGTGCTCAACCTTGACTTTATCTG